AATAAAGTATTTATAAAGCACGTGATTCAGATAGGTGTTTGAGAGCCATTATATTATGATATCCGGTATTTATTTTATATATGTTATATTGCAATTAGTTTCTTTACGCCTTGCGGTGACAGTTATTTTTCTTCCAGTTTACACCTTATGGTGACAGTTATTTGCATCCAAAATAAAGTTATGATACATCATTATTATTTTCTTGATATATATGGTTTATGCACGTGTTATTATGTTTGTCTGGGAGTGATATTTCACTCATTAGGTTGTTTGGGTTAGATGTGAGATTGACACCACATCGATAAATCCAAAATAATTATTAAAGGTTGTCTAGGAGTAATATTTCACTTATACGGTTGTTTGGGCTCGATATGAGATTGACACCATATCGGTAAATCCAAATATAAGATTTGTCTGACAGTGGTATTTCACTCTTGAGGTTGTTTGAACTAGGTGTGAGATTGATACCATATTGGTAAATCCAAACATAAATATTAAAGTTTGCCTGTGGGAGTATTTCACACTCTATGAGGATAGCTTGGGCTAGATATGGGATTGGCTCCATATCGGTAAACCCTCACACTGAATAGAAGGTTGGCGGTTTGCTGTAATATGTTCAAGTGATATACCACGATAGTATGAAGTAGGACGGATAGTGAGGTATGCGTTTAGACCACATGCAGTTTGCACATCTCATGAAATACAGTAAAAACAACTATATTTGCTTGAATCTTAGATGAAATCGGTTTTGAGATCATGGAATTGTTTAGACTAATATATTACTTGTCTACGCATTCATGATCCACTATTGAGGAAGTCTATGGAGGAGAGTGTTCTAAAGTATCAATTCATCTATTTCGATAATTGTATTTTTATAAAACAAATTGAGTGGCCACTCATCTTTTCTAAAATGTGTTGCAATCCATAGTTTCATTTTTTTTTTATAAAACTTGGAGTGCATGGACCAAGTGGGAGATTGTTAGAAATATATATATATATATATATATATATATATATATATATATATATATAATAAAAATTATTTATGGTCCTATGCATTACGTTTTCTAAAATAGGATTGCAATGTAATTATTGATACTTAATGGATTGGGTTGTACTATCCAATTTGATGGTCTAATTGGGAATATGGTTTTATAAAGTTGGATTGTGGTTTTCCAACTTATTTGGTATGATTTAATTCTAACCATTTATATCTAAGTTTCTATGATATGAAGAGAGACTTATGTCTGTTTATTTGTAAAGAAGCCGTCCCCTTGTTGTTATATATAAGGGTTTTAAATCCTTATTCAGCCTACTGAAGGACAACTCTCAAATCATGGACTTAGACCTATTGTATATTCATTTGGTTATGTTTTGAACATTGGATAACATAGTTGCTATGTTTGTATTCATGAGAATATGTTTTCCTTATTGAATATATTATTGCCTTGTGTAATGATTTACACACTTCGTGTTTAACATCTTTCATGCATAGCGTGTAACGAATCGCACGCTGAAGATTCGACATTCATCATATCATATTAGTTGTGGATTTAGAGCATGTATTGTATAGGTTTCCGAATTTGGTTGTGCTTAGTAGATAGTTGATTATCTTGCATATTCCTGTTGATATATGCGTTGTTGCACAACTTGTTGATTTTGGCAATTTAGGAATGTCATTGTTTGACTATGGCTAAGACGTGGTTCTAGTACGGGGGATAGTCCCTCTATATATAGTCTAGTGCGTACATAGAGAGGTTACCCATGGGCTAGTAACCCTAAAGTAACTATGTTGTTGGTCTGATCCGGCGTGACGTCCGAGTATCCACTTTGTTTGATTTCGCAAAACACTCTAATGTTTTTGCAAGAACATACAGAGGATTATATGATATTCAAAAGGTATTATGTGGTTTAATTATCAATCAGGTACGAGACTAAATTATCATTTTAATTAATTGTAGTATTCTTAATTTCTACGTGTAAATGATTTGATCAAAACCCAACACTTACAACTACAAATGCATCTGCTGGAATAACAAGAATCCTTCGTACCGAAGTAATCAAGCATGCGCCGGCAAGTGGCCAAACATTGCAACTGCATGGTTTAGTTCAGGTCTGAGATAGAAAGTTCGATTTAAGAGAAAGAGTAGGTTATGAGTAGGTTAATTAAATGAAAGTTACAAAAAATGAAGGAGAAAAATTTGATCTTATATCTAAGATTTAAAGAGAGATAAGAAAAGAGAGAAGCTCGAGAGGGAGATGTGACAAATGACATTGTTAAACTGTTTTAACATACACTGCTGGAGTAGTTGTTAGGAGAATTCTCATAAACTAAGATTTTTAGCAGCACATTAAACAATTGTCCATGTTTAATGCAAAGCTACGAATAGTACAAGTCCTTTTATTTTAAATTTTAATTGATTTGTTTTTTATTTATACTTAAAAAAAAAAAAAATCATTAAAACACTTCATTCCATATGCTTTGGACCATGTGTTAAATAATAAAACAATTGTTGGGTACAATAACAGTTTATTAATATGAAACATTATTTGGCTTGACAGGTCATATGATCTTCAACTAAAAAATTAATCTAGAAATTCATTGTTTATTATCCAAAAAAGATTTACAGCCAAACGAATGTTGTCAATATTAACATCACAACCACAAAACCCCTATAATCGTTCCAATAATGCAGCTATCTCTCTCTCTAAACGATCATCACCACCGACACTTTTAACAACCACCAACAGCTAAACCATCACTGCCACCGTCGCCGCCTGTTGTTAGTTGATTTAGGAATCAGAAAAAAAAAAAAACAATAAGTCTCTTCCTCCCTAAAGATGGTGGTGTTATTTGTCGCACAATATATTACTCCAAGAATTCACTTTATTTATTTAATATTATTATTATTATTATATTTTTATGTGTGTGTGTGTGTGTTATGCTTTAAGAATCCTGGCCACCTGACTATCCTTGGCAAAGCAGGATAGAGTTAAAGCCTCCTTTTCTAGTACAGTATAAAACACAGCTAGTCAACAACAAAATGCTTATTTTAAATACATGTGTTGAACCTTTATGTTTATCCTCATAAACAAAGCCAACCAGGAGTATCTTTTTGAATTTGCAAGCCCATTATCAATTACAAGTGTATTTGTCAAACTAGGGTTTGTAAATTGATTGGTGAGATTCCCAAATGTCCAAGCACTACCTCATGCTTGCTTCAATTTTCTTCTATCAAGTTATGTCAATGTTTGAAACTATTCAATGATCCACCAAGGTTGAGTCTGTCCATTAATCATAACATTCTGAAAAACACCATTACAGAGTGCCATGTTTTTCTTAAAATTCACAACATGATTTGAAATTTTTAATTCTATAATAACATGAAAATGAAATCTAACAACTACTTGGGATACGTGGGATGAAGTAATGAAATGACTCATTTTGAGTCCATTTTATGTACAATCTTTTTAATAATACTTGAGATGTTCGGGTCAAGTATATTCAAGTTCCGCCACTAATTATTTTTGTCACACACGTGTTATTCTAAATCTAAAATTAATCTTATTCCAATTCCAATTTAAAAGCACTGATTTGGTACTTTTAAACATAGCACATGTGAAGTTGGAGTTGTTTGAAAATTATTTTTAGAAGGGTTAAGAATATAAAACAACCGAGGTTTACTTTTTGTGCAAATAACATGTCTATCATTTAGTTTGGATATATAAGCACGTTAAAATTTTAAAGATGTTACAACCAAGAACTTATCTTCCCTGAACAATTAGAAAATTACCATTATAAAGCCATGTGCGTGGCACGTGACTAACCAAAATGTCCTTTTAAAGTACCTAAAATGAATTTTTTTATTTTAATTCAAGAAGGGTATTTTAATATTTTCATCGCTTCATTAACAAATGATGGGAGACCTTTGTTCGCCCCAAAAGTGATCGTCAGGAGGTTTTCAGTCACCCTTATCCTATGTTATTTGTAGTCGCCTTCTTTGTTTCTTACATTCTATTATAACTAATCTTTCTTGTTTGATCGGTATGTCTCTAGATCTATGATGTAGCTTTCCAGACCATCTGAATCCACTCTCTCTAATTTTCTCACTAATGAGAGCCACCCATAATTTATCTCACATTTATGCTCTTTACGTAGGAAATAACAATTTTGTATGGAAGGGATAGATGATATATTCTTAATGCTTTGTTCGGTAGGAAGAAAAGAAAATGTATGGAAAGAAAATAAGAATGAAGAAACAAAGTTCATTTGCTCGGTAAAGATGACATAAGGAAATAAATAATAATCCTTCATTCTTTATAAATTTTCATCCCTCAAAAAATTGATGGAAGAAGGGAAAAAAATAAAGTAAATTATTATAAAAGTTTTAAATTAAATATTATCTTAAAAAATAAAGTAAATTAAGTTTTAAATTACAGTACTATAGTATATGAATTACAATATTATAGATATTACTATACATAATAGTAAAAACAATTTAAGACTTTATATTTCCTTCTCTCATAACGAACATAATAAATTATGAGTTTATTCTCTTCTCTTTTATCCGACGGAATAAAAAGAAAGAAATACACAATCTCTTCCTTAAATAAAGGAAGAATCAAAAGCAATTAGTTTTTAAAATTATTTAGACAAATGATTTAACTTTTAAATAAAAGGCCACTCTAAGACGAGCACACTTGCTTAGGAGATAAGCACTCTACCGACTAAACGACTGATTAATGTGCAAAATTATTTCGTTAATTAATGATTTTATATTTTTGAAATCCAGAAATAACAAATTGTAAAAATATTGATCCAAGATGACCGGTCCGATTCGATTTATAGGTTCCACCAAATTATTTTCTGCATCCCAAATGTCCATCTTAGCAAATGGACCCTCCATCCCCTACCCTTTCTTTTCCTTCTATTTTACTCAATCCAAACAATCCTTTGGATTTTAACCATGTCACGGACCCATTACAGTGTGGCATCAGCAGGAGTGTTTATCATTCCCACCTATCTCTCTCTCAAACTATATGTCACTCTCTCACTACTCTTTCTCTCTCTACCCGTATGTTTTCTCTCTCTAAACAGGGAGTGACCTGGAAATGGATTTGAAAGGCGCTGGCACTAAAGAGCATTGAGAGTTTCTGCATTTCAAAATCAAAGATACTGAAACTCGCTCACTCTCTACCCACTGAGAGAGACTACCCAAAATTTTCCATTTCAGTTTTTGAAATCCAGAGATCAAAGCGTTAGGGTTCTGATTCATTGACACCGTCTTTCTCTCTCTAGAATCTATCAGATCCATCTAAGGAATTCACGACTTGCTGTCACTCAGTCTCTCGGACCGCACTTCAATGACCTTCTGTTGATCATCGCATGCTTTGATTGGTGAGCACAAGGAAAACCCAAAACGTCATTTCGTTATACATATATGTAATTGTTGTATGTGCATGAGTGCTTATATAAGCATATATATGTGCTATGTGTTTGCATTTTTTGCTTCTGAAGTAGATGAATGTGAATAGATCGACTAAATCTCTCGAAATGTCTCCTCCTTTGGTGTTTGGATGTGAAGATCTTCTTTCGATTGAATCTTAGATTCAGAACAGTGGATCTTTTGATGTTTTCAAAGATCTGTTTGATTATATGCGATTTATTTTTGTCTCGTCTGTAATTCTTAAATTTTGAGATAGTATTGAGTGATGCCCAACCGCTTATGTGCTTAATGATTTTGTTGAAGACTTTGTTTGGCTGCTTTGGAAAATGAGAGAAAGTAGGTCTCTGGAATCTCATTTCCGAATTTTTTGGGTCTCTGGAATCGCATTTGAACATTCATTTTTTGTTATATCATATTTTTGTAGTAGTTGATTGCATTTCATTAAAGTCTTAGTTTTCTTTTATAGTGTAAGGTCTGAGGAGATGCATCGATAGTGTTTAACACATTAGGCAAGTTCTGTTTATGTTTATGATCCATTTGATTCTAGAAATAATTCACAAAACAACTCAATTTGTGTGTACTTCTATTGTTCTCAAAGACCAACTGAGACTTAATAGTTTTGATTTTCTTCAAAACCTTCTGGCTGAATTACTTCTTAAAAAAAAAAAAAAAAAAACTTCTGGTTGAATTGTTTTAGTAGTTATTGTTGTTATGACCATTTCTACTTATACAGTGTAATTTATAGTTCAAGCCAAAGATTTTTTTTGATAAATATAATTCAAGCCAAAGATGATGATGATGATTTGTTTTTTTGCAGTGTGTGATGGATGCTGAGAATATCATACCTGCTTTTGCAAATGGGAAGGGCTATGAAAATGGTGTTCATGAACAACTCCCTTCCTCTCCAGAGGAAGGTTTTGTTTTCGAGAAACTAAATGGGGTCCTCGGTACTGGAACAGAGGCTGCAGGGCTAAGTGCAAATACAGAAACTGTTGTCCAGTTGGAGGAATGTGGAACCACTAACATATCTAGTGAAGAAGTCATGGAAAATTCTACTGAACATGCAGGAAGTAATGGTCTGGCTGTTTCTAAGGTGGGAGGTGTTTAATTTGTCGAATTGTTTCAATAATTCAATTTTATTTTGATTTGAAACCCACCAACATGTCCATCTTACCACCAGGAATCCTTAGCGGAGGAAACGGATCTTTCAAAGTGTTCCAAACCACAAAAGGGTCAAGGAAAGAACAACGATCAGAAGCCTTTGAGCCCCAAACATGCTACGACAACATGGGTGAAAAAGGGCAAAGATGGAAAAGACGCGGAGACAAGTTCTGTTGCTTCAAATGGGAATTCGGCTTCTTCACGCCCGAAACAACCTTTTGCCCTAAGAACAAATAGATCATTTAATGACAGGCAGGGTGGTGGCAGCAATTCAAAATTAAATCCTCCTCTGATTAGTGCTCATCCTTCGAAGGTAAAAATAATATTGCCTTTGGGTTCTTAGATGGTTAGTATATTCATATGTGAATGTGATGGTAGTCATATATGGCTGTGAAGGTGAAAAGGCGCATACTCCTTTTGTTTTGGTGTTTGTTACCATCTTTGCTGTTTCTGATTACTGTTATAATTTTCTATTTGCTTCTAGCAGCAATCTAGAAAGTCTGATGTAGCACCATCTACCATGAATGTGACAAAGTCTGAAGGCCTTGCGTATGTTCTACTTGCACTTATGATTAAATTAATTGCCTCCTATCTCATGGAGCTATATGTAATCTTAGCTCCAATGTCAATATTTGTGTGGAAGAGGACAATAGGAAGTCCTTTATTCATTTAAGTTTTGTAACTCACTTTTTATTTATTAATGCCAACTTTTTTTCCCAGCGGTTTGTGAATTGTAATTTCCTGACTACAGGGGCAAGACAAAATTAAAGCCATTGAAAAAGGGTCCCCCAAATGAAGCTGAAGGAAGCATACCATCTTCTTTGTATCCTATTTATATTTACTGTTTTGCCAATTTTTTTTTGGGGGAGGGGGTTGCAGAAGTGGTGGCATTTTGATTTTCTGGATGCCTATTTAATGAAAGGTTAAATTTGCTCTTGATATATTTATCAGCTTATCCTTTACCCATGTATAGAAGCCCCACCATAGGAGATGCCAAACCCTGCAGAGTGGGTACTCTTCCGTCCTACAATTTCAGTTTTAAGTGTAATGAAAGAGCCGAGAAAAGAAGAGAGGTTAGTTTTTTGTCTGCGTCATCATGAACTCACACATTGTTCTGTCCAGCAGGATTCATAACATCAACTTGAGACGATTCTTTTTATTTTGTTTCGGCAGTTCTACTCTAAGCTCGAGGAAAAGATTCATGCAAAGGAGGTAGAAAAGAGTACATTGCAAGCAAAATCCAAGGTATTGCATATTAATTCAGTAGTTTAAAAAAATTGATTTGTCTTAGTTTTTACTAGTCTTACATTTTTCAAACAGGAAAGTCAAGAAGCTGAGATCAAAATGTTAAGGAAGAGTTTGACCTTCAAAGCAACACCAATGCCAACCTTCTACCAGGAACCTCCACCTCCAAAGGTGGAGTTAAAGAAGGTAGCTTTACTTTTCCAATCACATATGTTACCGTGCACAAGTTTCACAATTTGTTCATGAAATGGAAAGCTTGTCCAATGCATGCACGTCCTTCACGGAAAAGGGGAGAAAAAAAAAATTGATTTCATAGCCTCTCTAGGCCTTGTAATTGTAGTTTTTAAGTTGAGATAAGGTTGCAGAGAGGATATTAGGCTGTGGCCTACAGCCTGTTGGTGACCTACTTTCGATAAAGCTTATTTGGGCTTGGGATCTATTAGAGGGGGGTCCATGGGATCTGCTCAAGGATAGTAAGATCCTAGAAATGAGTGAAAAAAATTATATATATGATTAAAGAATTCTTAAAATAGATAGGCCTTTTGTAGCTTTCGTGGGATGCGATCCCCGTTTGATAGCTTTATATTACATCTTACTTATCAAAAGAATGATTCTTAAAATAGATAGAGAATAACTTTAAAAAAAAAAAAAAAAAAAAAAAAAAACTATTACGATATACTTGTATATAAAAAAAAAACCTATTACTTATTAAAAATAAGTAATATAAAGCTATCAAGCGTTCCCCTTTTGAACGCTTTCAATGCATTTCTTACTTATCAAAAAAAAATAAAAAATAAAATCCTATAACAGTATAGAACATGCATTCATACACAAATTTGTGCTAGTAAATGTGATAATGTATCTGCGAAGGTAAAACCCTAACAACAAAAAATTAAAAAGTAAGATCTAATTTAGGAAGATCAAGGTTTAAATCCTTCTATTCTCATTTTATTCATGAAATTTATGTCATATAGTACTGAAGACTAATTAATAAATAAAATTTTGTAACACAGTACTAAATACCAAATTACATAAGCCATAACAACTAACTTTTGTTATAAAAGGTTTAAAACTAATCCACTTTAGAAATTTTTCCAAAAACCATAGAAAAACAAAAAAATTATATGATTTTTTGTATGCCTGAACCATCTTATGGCACAGTCCTCCTATGATCCTATCTCTCTGATTTTACATATGATCTTGATTGGTTTGGTAATTTGTATTGTAGGATAGTGTGATCCTATGACCTGGATCGCAATTTTTATAACCATGAGTTAAGAACTAGTTTGATGGAAAATTTAAGTATATTTTTCCTCCCAACAATTCTTGTAGTCTAGGTTGTCTATTTGGACAAACACAAGACTGATCCTTGTCTGTTAAATGCTAAATTTTCTGTTACACAAGACTTATTCTTGTCTGTTAAATGTTAAATTTTTTGTTATTTATTTTTGGTGAATGAGAATTTCAATAACAAACTGATGGTGTTCCTTCCATGAAAAAACATGGTCCATCCGGGCTCTTGAAAGTGAATTCTCTGTATTAGTGGTACTGTCAATATGTTTAAATCTTTGCAGAAGATCTCAAGCACTAGCTTGTTCTTGTAGTCTGTGATAGTATAGAATCTACACAAGGTGTAGAGTTGCGTACTGGTGTCTTGTGTGCCCAAGTTTGCCTGGTTAAGGCTACATGATTGGGGTGGTTGTTTAGTACGCAGGGTAGATATTGTTATGCGAACATGACTTTGTTTACAATTTAAATTCGATAAGATATAATTTTAAATACTTGATTCTTGGTATGAAAAGGTGAATAATAATGAACAACTTATTGAGCCATGGTACTAGAATAGTATCTACTCCTCTGTTTCTGTTCTTTTTTTACATCTAAATATTTTTTTGTGTAGTTGGCAGAAGTGTACAGACTCTCAAGAGTGTTATCTTGTAACATTTGTTGGACTTGTGGACATTTTTGATTCATTGCCTTTGTCACTTTACATTGGTTATAGATAAATGAGGTTTTTACTTCCTTATTTAGACATTTAATGTTGGAATGGGCTTGTTTGTTTTGGATAGATTGTGCTCATGTTGTCTTTGTGTTTCGAATATTTTGATATGCATTGATTTTATTACTTAAAATTTATCTTTCTTTGGCTCCGGTAGGTCCACTCCATAGTTTCTTCTAGTCAGTCCCATCTTGCCATTATTGCGTCAAGTATTGGTCTCATTTTCCAGATCAAGTTCGCTGGATGTTTGGTAGTTTATGCATCCAGTTCCAATAGTCCTTGTATAATAGAATGTCATTTGAAATTGTTTCTAGGAAGAATGTGAATCACCTGAGTTTGGATAGCTAAAGATTTTCTAAGAAAGATCAATCTTTGGATACTTAGACCTATATATATGGGATTCCTTATATTGTGATTGTGATCCTTTTTCAAGATTGACATGGAAGGGCTTCATTGGTGAATCAAACTTAGTGGACCAGGCTGCGAAAGAGATTAGCTGATTGCTTTTTTTATGCATTTAGTCTTCTTATTAGAAGTTTTCTTCCTCTTTTCATTTTGAAATATTGTTTTTTAAAAAGATTTTAGTGACACATTTTACCCAAATGGAAACAAAACCCTGTTTTTGTGACAGTTACCTCTGATAAAGATCCAGGTGCTTAGAATTGTCATGGTTAAAAAATTTTCCGGGTTGGGTTATTCGGTCTTCAAGCAGAGGTTGATGAGAAGATTTAAGGTTTTAAATGTTAGAAGGTAGGAAGCACATAGGGGTGGGACTTGGGCGGGCCAAGCGGTTAGCCCATGTCAAGCCAAAGGTTCTAACACTTCAGTCTGCGCCAAGCCCAAGTCCCGAGGAACCCATCGCATCTCAACCCGCGCCATACCTCATAGGTTCACGAGTTTTTTGAGTTTTCCAAAATTTTGATAACCTACAAATGAATAAAGTTTATAAAATATAAAATGTTAAAGTCTAACTACATACACTTGATATGAAATAAAACCGCTCATATCATTTTGACAGTTTGGGTTTTTCTTTTAGTGCTTAAAACTCGTGGGACTTAATAATATTCCCTCCTATTAGAATTTTGAAAGAATTCAATATCTTACATTTTTTATCATTTTGTTTCTTACTTTCTTTAACTAAAAATTCAATTATTATAATTTTGGTACTTCAATTTTTTTAAGCAAGCGTGTCAAAATTAGGTTAATACCTATGATACTATAACTTTATATTACACAGACAATGTATAGTTGTGAAAATATTAAAATTATAAACTTTTGTTGTATTTCGGGTTCCTCGGGTTAGTTAAACCTTTACCCAATTCCCGCACAAAATAAATTTGGGCTCTAAAATTTAAACTCAGTCCCATCCCTATGGTCTCAAGTACCTTGCCTATGTCCATAAAAGTTTCAGGTGGAATTCAGGTTGATCAGGTTAGGCCCACCCTAGTCCCACTCCTAACATTACATGTTTAAACCGGTTTGAGTCCAGTCTTGCCATTTCGGTGTGTTATAGTGTACTCTATACTTCTATTGTATTTTTTGTATTATTGCTAGTGGCTTATTGTGCTACATGCTGAAAGTTCAAAATATTTTCTTTTTTCAATATATTGAAATTTATAAGAGGCTGCCCTGAGTCAACTTAAATTGACGACTTGTTAATTATAGGTGAATGGAATTCTCTAAGTTAAATATGATTGATGAACTAGGAATGGTTTTCCTTGTGTCTATGGGCCAAAGCTAAAAAGGCTTTTGAAAGACATGGGATTTGGTTCTCTATGATGTAGTGATTAAACACGCCCTCCTTTGCACAACTTTGGATAGGCTTTGGCATATAGTGGTTGGACTCAATGAATGTAATACTTCTTTACAACGACCAATACAGGATTCCATGGGATTAGAAGTTCTTGATTAAAATCTTTCGATTAGTATTCATGTTTGCATTAGTGATGCAAGAGGAACAGTCTAAGTTGCTGTTGCAGCAATGGTCATTTGTACTGTAGCAGTTACTATTCATATGTATTTATTTTAATGTACCATGACACTGTTCATGCTACCTTAAAAGTCATTTGGAGGATTTTCTGGTCCATCTTCTTTTTCTTTTTATTTTGAAGTTACAATGCATGGTTAAGATTAGAGTTTTTTTAATGGCTGGGATATAATTATGTTAGTGTTTTACTTATAAAAAAAAAAACTAGGGTTTTATGGTCATCCCTTCTCAATCTTAGAAGTTAAGATATCATTTTTGTATGGATTTTTGGTTATTAATAGAATTTGCTGTTGGTTATATGTTATTTTGAGAGCTCTTGCATTTGCTCAGCTTTAACATCCTATGGAGCCTTTTATTTTATATATATCAAGTCCAGCGCGTAGACATTCATATATATATATATATATATGTTTAAGTACATATAAAATATATATATATATATATATATATATATATTTGTTTAAGAAATGTGGGTAATTATAAAAAAATAAAAATAAATAAGGAAAACGTGGGCATTCAATCGAATTAGATGGAAGTGTGATATTGTCACGTGCTCTGAAATTCTTTTTGGATATCAGAGGTGAAGATGGTCCACAACTTCGGATCAAAGATGTCAAAAGTTGGAGATCAAACAATAATTATAATAGATTAGTATGAAAATTGATGATGACCTTATGAGCATATAACAAGTTGAAGTTCCTATGAAGATTTAGAAGGCAATCATGAATTTTTTGGATAATGGAAGGCAATCTTGTAGAAGAATATTTTATTTTAAGTATACACTTGATTCAGCCATAAATAATTTAGTGGGTTGGATTTTTTATTTTTCGTTTTCTTCTTCTAGTGATGGCTCTGAAGTAAGTTCCTCATTGTCTTGTTATGAAGGTATCCAATTTTGGTGTCTTTGTCGAGTGTTTGGACAAAATCCCAAAGGAGATGGTTTGGGCTTGATATTTAGACTAATTTAGTACATATTTGTGGATTGGGAATGCGGGACAGGACCGACACCAGAGGATTTGATATGCAAGAGTACACAAAACCCCAGACTAGACCGAGAGGGGTGGGGTGAAGTAATCTTAAAAACTAAATTAAATATCTTAACTCTTTAATAGAAATTCAAATTTCAACCAACTTAAATGAACAGAAATTTGGAGTTTAATTGATCAATCACGTAAAAATTAGTAGAATGCAAAAAGCATGAAAAGCATTCCACACAATAACTCCAAATTTACTTGGAAAATCCCATAAGAAGAAAAACATGGGACCTACTCTAGACAAATCTAGTCCGCGATACGAAGAAAGGTAGTATAACCCCAAGTCTCATAATCTAAATCCTAATAGCCTAAGTGACATGAAATGTAGACTCACGTTAGTTGTTCATTCATGCAAAACTGCTGTTGTCGATCAATGAAGCCGCTCCTCATGCAATTTTCTTTTCAATTCATGATTGATCTCTTCCATAGTCAGGCCTAGCCTCTGAAAGCCGGAGACTCATCAAGGCTCAATTACAGTGTCTCAACCTACAAAAGGCCAGTTCAGTCAGGCTCACATAAAGCCCTCAAGCTCGCTCGTTTTAATCAGCTTCAGGCTAAAAAAACACGCTTTTAATTTTTTAATCATTTGTGTATATAACATTTCTTTTTTACTTACTGACCATGAAAATAAAATGTTCTACATTATATCACAATCATATTTAATAAATCATATTGTTTAATCTTGTGATTTTTTTTTTTTTGGAGAGGGGGGGGATAAAATTCATAAATTTGTGTTGTCTACTTACATTTATTGCATTTAGTGATTGATTTTAAGTATTTATGATAATATAGGATTAGAGTTTACATGATTATAGTTCTTTATTCTTTCACATTTGTTATCACATTTAATTTGGTTAATTCATATGCATATGAAAGGATTTACGCGCATTAATTTTCCTAGCCTCTTAATTGATTTATCAACCTATTTTTGAGATTTTTTATTTGATGAGCTGCCTATTTTGAGTACTTCTGATTGTGCATTGATTTAATTGAACCTGTGTACAAATTGACAAGATATATGAATGTTGATCTGACTAATTGATCCTATTGATATGTTGATAAATTCCTTTATTTTGATATTGACTAGTTTGTGCTTCATAGATTAATTATTTTTAACAAACATAAGTGCTTAAATCCTTTTTTGTGACTGGCTTATGCAATGTTCGATAACCAACTTGGGTTTGATTGATTGAACCTAGTCTAGTGAGGGGCAGTTGATACTTCAATTCGATCTAGGCACTTCTTTTATGCATTCAAAACTTCTTTTTAGGATCAAAACATGTTTGTTATGAATCCTATACGTCAATAATGCTAATAATGTATTAATATGAATCTCAAGCTGGTGAGTGCATATTTGAGAGTTGTATTTACATTTTGCTGAATCTTGGAAATCGTCAAGAACTCCTTTCATTGAGTTAACTAAGTAACTTTTGAAAAATAAAAACGGAAATGAAATCAAAATTACGAAGTCTTTTGTGAACGAAAATTGCCAACCTGTGTCCTATTCCAAGCCCCACAAATGTTCATTAGAGGTCCATAGAGAGTTGATTCAACCATTATCATTTTTTATTATGCATGTTGACTTCTTCGATGGTATTGAAATCCCTTTGGATGGTAAGTCTTTCTGGATTATGAAGTGTGTTTATAATGCGCAAGTATGGAGAAGTGAAATTCGATTATGTTTGGGAAGCATTAACGGTTTCATTTTGTGGAAGTAATAATGACTGTGAATTATTTTAGCGAGGATTATAAGAAAGCCAAGATGATTCTATAAGCATATTTTTTAAAGAAAATTTTATAATATTCACATTCAAAGTTATTGATATAGGTTTGGAAACAAGTTACTCAGTTGGCCAACCATTGATTCAAATCATGAAATACAAACTTGTGCAAGGTATATCATGACTGAATTGAGGCTGATTCTTTTTATGTTTGTTCGTGTTGAATGAGGGAGAAAGAAAGGCAGGAAACAATTGCATGGATTTTCACTAGACAGAAAGTGGAATCTAAGTTTGTGGGCAAGTGTTATTCCAACCTGGGGAATTTCATGAAGGGGCAACATTTTAAGTAAAGTTTCTATAGCAGTTTTGTTCATTGGTTAATGTTGCACTATTCACCTTTACTGCTTTGCTGGTCACACTACAGTAAGAGTTACTAGTAGGTTTTTTTTTTTTTTCCCCCTCTCAATAGCTGAGACTATAGCTATTTAATGGTATCTAATTATGTTAGGCTTTATGGTAACCTCTTCTTATAAATAGAAAGTAAGACGACAATGTAATTGACTTTGGGCCCGGCCTAAACCCCAAAATAGAAAAAAATAAAAATAAAGGAAAAAAGAAAAAAGAAAAACGAAAAATAAAGGAGAATGTTGGCTACCAAAATAAACTGAGAAGTCAGGTGATCACCTTCGAAGCAAAAATTCTGCTATCAGTCTCTTTCCATCTTCAAGATCTCTTGACCTAAATTGTAATATTCAGACTTCTCTTGTACCTTTTCGTTGCTGGAGGGTTGATGAAATCTTTGTTTGGTTGTTGTCTGACAGGCTACATACGTCAGGCTTTTTGGATTGATATGCTAGGGGTAAATCGCAACCTACATGAGGACGTGCTAATCTGTCATAATAGAACTTGTTATTTTTTTGATAAATTATAATAGAATTTGTTTTTGTTGTGACAATTGAATCTAAGTTGCAATCTGAGTTGGATTAGATTCCTAATACTGACTTTATCATGCAACTACAGAAGTCTCATGTTTCATACACTGGCTTGACAAGCAATGGCACTCCTGCAGTTTTGTAGTCAACATTAGATGTCTTAAATTTTTCTGGTCTTGAGCCTAACCAAGTGTTCCAATTAATGGTGCTGACCTTGTTATGTTGCTAGCGTATTCTTTAGGTTCTTCTCTCCAGGTGGGGAAATTACTAACTGGTTAAACATGTCTTTTGTTTTAATCAAATGATTAAATTATTCCTTTGGACACCCTCTATTATATTGTTCTGGCACTGTAATACCTCTATCCGTATGCTCACAATTTTATGAGTTTGATATGACTATCATTCTCCATTTTGTTGCCTAGAGGAAAAGAATTTCATGAAAGTTATTTCAACCCTTAAATGGGTCTTCTCTCTTTTTTCTTTTAAATCCTGAAATTAACCCTTAAATGGGTTTTAGATTCTAGACTTCTGCTATTTATTCCATCTTGTTAACAAGCTTGGAACATTTTATTGGCACACTTGTGCAAAAAGTAGCTTCTCTCCTAATTTTCTGACAGATTATTCCTAAGTGTTGAATCTGCTGTAATTCACCATCCCTCAATAACTTTAGCTTGAAGGCTTGACATCAGATTATTATTGAAGTTAACTTTTTATCAGTAAGTTGTCTAGTTAAAGGGTAGGTAGCGATACTCATTTCTCTTTCTGGTATTCAATTGGTTTTTCCTATATCTTTAGTTGGGTCGTCGGCTAATTGGGGCAGCTCCTCATGGGATCTTTAGTTGTGCATTTGGAAAGAAAGGAATTGGCATTCATCTGAAGGATTTACAGGTCTCTAGTGTGAAGAAGTTTTTTCTTTTGAGTTTGTATTTTGGGTTCGGGGAGGGATACACTTGTGAATGACTCCTCTGTAGAGTTTTTGGGACATATGAGGGTACAGATAATGTGTCATTTTCCATGTATACTTTGTGTATACATGAGCTGCACTCCCATAGTCCTGTGGTGTTTTGTAGTGAATTTTGTATTTTATCGAAAAAATAATAATAATAATTTGTCAGGAATCTCATATGGGAGCTAAATGGGAGTGGTATTTATTGCTGTTTTAGGACTCTTTCTGTTTATTCTTAATGGGTTTGCTGCCGTGTTATTTGATTCTTCCTTTGACACATTCCTGCTGCTTGTAGTCTGTACAAATTTTTTGGTGAGCTTGTCTTGAGGTACTACATGCATGGGGATTATATATGGTCTGAATTGCTTTTGTATTGGTGTTTTCTATCACTATGATGCAGATACCTACAACAAGGGCTAGATCTCCCAAGCTTGGTCGAAAGAAGAGCTCACCCACCAGAGACTCTGAAGGAAACAGCAGTTGCAGTGGTCAGTCTGGTCGGTTAAGTTTGGATGAGAAGGTGTCTCAAAACAACACCAAAGGTCCTTCCCCTGTCCATGTTAAGAAGCCTGTACGGAAGTCCCTTCCTAAGCTGCCTTCTCAAAAGGTCAACTTATCCAATGAACCAAATGGTGCTGAATCTTGCAAGACCACATTATCCAATGAAACGAATGAAGCTGCATCTCATAAAACCACCCTTTCCAATGACAAAATAGAAGAATCTCATGAAACCACTGTATCCATTGAATCGAGCAAAACTGCATGTCATATTGATGAGCAGGAAGCAGCTCCAATTGTCGAGCCAAACCAAACTCGGGTTGATACAGATGGCGTGGCTGTCATTGAAGACCAAGCTCAGACCACCTTGGTTCAGGAGTCCATTGCTTCAGTGTATTAAATATGGCAGCACTGGAACTGAATGTGTATTTACCGAGCCCTCAATGAATTCACTTAAAATATTGGAGGAGGTATGAATAAGAACTGGATACTTGATTAAAAGGCATGAAGGATTCCATATTAAGGGTTGTTATGTTGTCTTGTTCATAGCGTCAAGGTTTGGTCATTCAATGTTATGCTTGCTTTCAAGATTGCTGGTGGTCATTAGGATTCTGCAGCTCCATTTGCAGCATTGTATGGTAAACCTGTCAGTTTGATTCCCTAATTTATGTTTAAATATGCTTCAATTGTCTGGCTATTAAATGAGGGAAAATTTTGGTAAAATTTGCACTTGGTTCATGATGGAACGTTGGCTTTTTAGCTTGTGATGTGCAATTGGGTTTGTTTTGGCTGTCAAGACTACTTTTGTGAACAAAATGTGTATTGTTTATTAATGGAGAGGCTATGTTGTATTTGTTATTCAACTTCTTCTCACAAGGTGTACTGCCTTTTTGTTTGACAAGCCATTTCCTCCCTTTCAGTTCTGTTTAGGTCACTGTTACAGGCTGACAGTTGCATCATCTCATAGTTGAGAATAGCAGTTCCTTCTGATTTATACTTAAGATCAATTTAAGAATAGTAGGTTGATCAATCCATGTTTATGTTAACTGCTTTATATCTGGCTTTCTTTACCTACTTAATAATCCACATATTTTAGATCCTAATGGTAGCTTGTCAAATGCATTTGTTCCTATTGCTCTCTAGCTCCAACTTTATAATGGTACTAGATATTAGTTTTCTTATTTATTTCTTCATTTTCATTTTTTTTTTCAAAGACCATAGAAAGGGATATAGATGTTTAGAAGTTATGTGGCCCTTCTTCGTTTGTATCTATGGATACAGTTTTTTGTTCTCAGAAAATTGAAAACGGAAAATAGTATAAAAAATTCTACTTGATTCAGTTTTTAGAAAATTGTTTTTTGAAAACTCTGTTATAAAAATGCCTTTTTTCAGAGAATTATAAAGAATTGTTCTCTGAGAATTTTCTGTTTTCTAAATTCTAGAGAATTATTTTCAGATAATAATTATATAGTTTTCTAAATTTTGTTTTGCTTATGTTGTGTTGGGAGTAGTTGAATAAGTTCTGCACTTGGAAGGGTCTATTCATTTATTTATCATTCTTTTTTTCTTTTTTTTTTTTCTTTTTTTTTTTTTCACTCATAAGTCATAACTAATTTTATCTTATCTTATCTTTTTAAAGTGCCAAAAATAAAAACTAATGTAAGATGGGCTCAATGTCCTCGTGGTTGATTCTCAACCATAACACCCACTCTCCTTGCAAATGTGTTGTTTAATTTATTTTTTAATTTTTTAATTTTTATGTTTTTTTTTTTTGTCTTCAAAAGTTGTGTTCCAGAAACCTCGTAAGCTGACAAAGAAGTATTTTTTAAAATTCAACTTTGAAGGATTTGCAAAAACTCTAGTGATGCCACTTAAAAGTCACAATCTACCCCAATCCGTTAAAAGAGTTGTTAAGGTGGGTCTAATTCAAGTGGGTGATTTGCAGCATTTCTTAATGCTTTAATAGTTATATGTGCAAAAATGAAAGTTGAGGGGACAACCTATGAAATAATGAAAGTTGAGAGTTTATATATATATATATATCTGAAAGGGTACTATTAGGATTTTAAAACTAAAATTGCACATGCATTTTATATCGGAAATGGTGAATTGAAAGTATTTGTACAAGCCTATAAACAATGTTTTGGTTATATGATAGTGTCTGTTTTTGTTTTCCAATCCTAGTTAGGGCATGAGAGCAGCAAATAGTCTCCAAAGATGTTTGGAGCACTTTAGGACACAACAGGGTAGATCTGTAATTAATTTTCTTAGAAGAATGAGATTTCAATTCTATTTCAAAATATATTATAAATTAATTAGAAAAATAATATATGTGTGTATACATATATATATATTTTAAAAGGAAACTTTTAGCCCTAAGTAGTGATTTAATAAGATTTACAAAAATTATTTTTTTCTGTAAAGAAAACTATATAATATTGTATTATGTTTTAATGTGCCTTTGTCGTATTTATGTCTTACTTTTTTGTGATTTGTCGTATCATTGTGTCTATGTAGTGACGAGTAAATATTGAGTACGCTATGTCATTAGTATACCGACCCAATGACAATGTACTTTTTTTTAAAAAAAAGTTGATACATTTATAATTATATTTATTGATAATGAAACAATATGTTATATTTATTTAGGTGTATATAATTAATAATGACATGATGTACATGGCGCACTCAATATCTATTCGTATAATGATCTACCGTGTGGTATTAAATACATTAAAATTTAGTAAAAAGGTGGATCAGACAGAGTTGAGCCAGAATCAGGCATAGCTCAAGCTCAACACAGTATCAAGTTGGAACTGAAAATATGTGGGGCTTTATGGGCAGGCTTTAGACTTGCCCAACCCAATTGACAATCCTACAGAAAATTAATAATTACCTTAATTGTCAAATATCATGGTTGAAAGAGTTTATTTCCACATTTGCATTTCCACGAGAGGAGATAGTAGTTGCCACCTTCATCATGAGATACCCTAGCATCTTTCTTTTGATGAGGTGGAATGACCAAAGTAGCCATGCATGGCCTACAATTGAAGCACTTGTTCACACACCTTGGAGGCCTTGATCCCACCACCACCATCTCTCCTTCCTCCAAACTCTCAGTTTTATAGCTTGAAACCCCTATTCCAAATGCCAACACACAAACAAAAAACATGCTTTAATATTATAACAAATAAAACACAATTTTAAATACTCAAATCTGTACTCGAATCCTCTCCTGTGTTCGGTACACAAAAAAAGGTGAAGATAAGCAAAATTAATACTCGGATCCTCAACTGTGTCCGGTGCACAGAAAAAGGTAAAGATCACTTTACATGGTATGAAATAAAACCAATACTCGGATCCTCAACTGTATCTGGTGCACTGAAAAGACAACACCCCCTTATAGTTGTAGGGTGATTTTCACCTTCTTTTGTACCTCGACCAAAACCTAGCTACTTCATCATCTTTCATGTAAAATATACTTAAAAGAAACACTTGTGATAAACTTCATATTAGAGAAAGGTGTGAACAAAGATTACAAAGTCAAGTAATGTGAGGATTCTCTTACCTGCTTTGGAAGGTAGACACATGAGTGAAAATATGAAAATACAACTGATTAGAACTTTGAACCCACTTGAGCAATTGGTTGATGAAACCATCAGTGTTGAAAAATCTTTGATGATCTTGTTTATATGCAAGCTTGTTGAGAGAAAGTGGAAGGCGAGACAAATAGAACAAGAGAGAATGAAGGTTTTTTTTTAGAGTATATAGATAAGGTGTTTGGAGAAAATTGAGAAGATTTGATTGTAAAGGGGGGACAAGGGAACAGAGTTGATGGATGGTGTCAGTTAAAAGGACACACTTCTCTGGTGATGTTAGTTGCTCAGTAATTAAATGCATCTCTGAAAACTTTACCCTTTTGTTATAGGCCATTGTGAAGTGTAGTCAAAATTAGGGTTTACTGCCTGATTACATGGTTTAGTGCTGGTGAATCACAATTTGACACGGAATTAAAATGTTAAATAAAATTGGCCTAGTTGTTTGAGCATTGTGATCATGGTTCGACCTTCGATATACGATGTATTGATAGATATGCGATTTTTTTTTAAATTTGATATGCGATTCGTATAAATCAATTAACTAATTTTATCCGACTTCGTTATATTGCGATCATAACTAATATTGTGATTGTGACTGTGATTGATCTGAAAAATGTAATTCTCGTGGGCACTTAAACTTGTTGTTTAATCCATGGACTTTTTTCTGACCTAGCTATTAGGTCTACTCTAGTTTTACAGCCCCCTTGTCTTTCATTGGGCACATCAAGCAATGCTAACCATTAGGGGAGGGAAACTTTTGCACTGACTTGGAATTATTGGAGAGGGATGACTGAAGTGACTATTTGTTCTTTTTTGCTTGGCCGACTTTTGATGATCCATACTCTTTTAACAAGGAAGAGCATTTTGCTAAAGTAGGTTAAATGGCATGAACTAATCCAAACATATCATCAATGTTCAAGCTTAAAGTTAAATATTCTAAGTTAAAATAAATAAACAATGTTGCTTCAGAAGATTCAGATTCTGTAAACACAAATGGGCCTTCATCATTTTACTTTCTTTTCTCAATTTTTGATGATTCCTGATCATGTAAGAGACATGTATCATTCACGATGCCCAGGCCCAGGCCCAACCCAAGCCCAAATTGTAAGATTTGCAAAATCTGTGATGGAATATTTTGTATATAATAATTGCACATGTGGATGAGGGGCATGGATGTTGAATGGCCATCTTTGGACCTGTCAATGTGTTGTTTTCTTTAATGGATTCTGTGAGATTTGCAATTGCATTGATTGGACTCCATGGTGGTCCACCAAGCTCTCAAAGGGAATCTTGTGTCTAAACCACCAGTTATGACAGGTTGATTATTTGTTTCATATATCATATGCTTTCACATTATATTTCTTCCGCAACTTTTTATTATTATTTTTTAACGAGAAATTATTACACGAAAGACTGTGTGATCGGACACACCAAAAAAAATCAAACCTCTGGTTATATGATCTTGGAACAAACTAGATTATGACTATCCAAATGCAAGTTACCTCAAAAAAAAAAAAAAAAAAAACAAAGGAATCTACACAAAGAAACATCTTGCAATTAAGTTCTAACCAAACAGAGCCAAAAGGTAATTGCTTGCTCTTGACGACTGGCGACATTGATGATACATTAAGAACCGAGACTTGAACAAGTGGTTTAGCTGAAGAAGACAGAGGCTGAAAGTGAAGGAGCAACAAATGCAACAACTCTTCAGGACTCTTGCCAAATAAGAAGCAATTATTCCATTGACTCATGGCTTCTGTGGTTGGCCTCCATATTCTGTAGCTGGTACTCGTATCTTTAGGGATTGGATCTTACAACATCAATCATGTTCTTTTTATTAGGGTAGGGGTGGCCTTTGTGGATGTTTGGTAACTGCTCACGCACTGCTCTCGCTTGGGGTGCCCTCACTCACACGTTCCATGTGCAACCGATGCTTCTCACTCTCACGCTCCATGTGCGGTGTCACTTTCATGCTCTGTCCGTGCTTCCGTTATATGGACTTTAATTTTAGCTCACTTTCACACCTCATGTGCGGTGCCACTTTTATGCTCTGTGCGTGCTTCCGTTCTATGGACTTAAAATTTTCCACTCACGTTCCATGTGCAACCGATGCTTCTCACTCTCACGCTCCATATGCGGTGTCACTTTCACGCTCTATCCGTGCTTCTGTTCTATGGACTTAAATTTTAGCTCACTTTCACACCTCATGTGCGGTGCCACTTTTATGTTGTGTGTGCGCTTTTGCTCTATGGACTTAAAATTTTCCACTCACTTCCCGCTTCCTTTTTGTGTGCCTGTGACACTTCTTTTTTGTGTGACTGTGATTTAAATTTTACCGCTCTCCACTCTCGCTCCCCGTTACATCCTGTGTTACCACTCTCACCCCCGTTTTATATTACTCAAATTTTACCACTCTCGCTCCCCGTTACATCCGTGTGACCTAAAATTTATGCGAATCGCACATGTAGCATTTTTTGAAGTAAATAGTGCAGGCTTTTTATATGTTGCAACTCCTTATTTAGTCTGGCTTTGTTGCTATTACTCACATTTCTGTATAGTTTTTCGCGTTCTGTTGTTAGCTGAGAAGAGAAGAAAAAAGGAAGAAAAGAAACAAAGAAATAGTATGTACCCAGCAGATCACAATATCATTGAAACAAATTTTATTCAATATTATTACATAAACAGAAGGCATACAACACTACGATTATCAATACCCTCGCATTACACAAAAGGTTGCAGAATACAGTTCATGAACAGGTGAAGCCAAAAAAACCAGGGCTTGGTAATAAAAAACAACACTTCCAATATGAAAGAGTTGTCACGGCAGACTGAAAGAAGCTGCTGCCATGGCCCAAGCCCAAGAACAAAAGGCGTCAAAATTGAACTGCCAAAAGCAACCTCAGTAACAACTACGACGAGGAATCTTAACCCACCCTAAGAGGAAAACAGAGACCCAACCATCAAATGCAGAACACTCGGGTTCAAAAACGTGGAAGAGACTGTAAAATGGGAAGTGGAAAGACTCGAAAACAGTGCAAAACGAAAAGCTAATAGAAAGCTTAGCTAAAGCGTGGGATAACCAACGCAAAGGCTAGGCTAAAACAGCAGGTGCCAACACCTAGCACAACACCACTAGGACAATGGGAAAGAACCTCTAGAACCAGAACCAAGTAAACTGTGAATTCTCAGGGAAGTATGGCCGTGAAGAATAGGAGACCCGACCTTTTGGGAGGGCAAAATTCTTGCAACAGCTTTCTAATGTGGAAAGCTGCAAAAAAAGAGTAACCGGCCATATTCCCTGGAAAAAAGGAACTAAGTCACTGGATCACAAGAAGACCCATAGCTGATGGACCCAAAAACGACACAAACTGCTGCTACCAACAAGAGTAAACTGGGATATTGAAACGTCCTTGAACCATCCTGAGTCCAAGGACAGGGGCTTCAAGCTTAGGAAAGGATATCACACCACCACAGCTGCTCCACAAGCTGGTCAACTGTGCTGCTGCTTATGGCTTTGCAGTGCTGAATGTTCAACCCCACAAGGGAGCGGCCCAACTTCTCCAAGAAAGGCAGGCTCTTTGCTGATATAGAAGAACAACCTGACATAGAAAGAATCCGCAGGGTGAGCTGAAGTGCACAAGCCAACACTGTTATGCCATTATTGGTGATCGCACACTTTGAGACGTCAAGTTCACTCAGCAATGAGCAATTCTCTGCAATCGCTATCAAGCTTGCATCAGTGATATTACAGCAACCATCAAGATTCAATAGTTCAAGAGTCCCGCCATGTAGCTTAGCAATGGCTGATACCACTTTGTCTGTCAAGTTCACACAACCACTAAGATTAACCTTTACCAGACACGCCTCACAGCTCTCGATGAGTGGGATCAACCCTTCATCTGTTATTCCATGAAGCCCACTCAGGTCCACATTCTGTAGCTGGGGGCACAATCTACCCAACATAGCCAAGCTCGCATTACCAAATCCAGAGCAGTTACGGATGGAGAAAGATCGCAGGGAATTGCAAAGACGCATCAAAGGGAATCCCAAGACAAGGTCCTTAATCCCCAAGCAGGATGCCAGAGAAAGAGCCTTCAATTTCCCACCAGAGTTTACAAGGACACCAAAAACCCCAAATTGGGAAATTCTGTGGCATTCCTCCAATTGCAGACACTCAAGTGAACCTGCAGCTTTGGCAAAAGAAACCAATCCATTGTCTGATAAGAATGCACATTTACGAAGGCAGAACAGCTTCAGATTAGGGCAACCTTTACCCACAGCTTCAAGTCCTAAATCAGTAACTCCTTGGCAAGAGGTAATTGTAAAGGACCTCAACTTCTGCAAACCCTGACAATTACCCATGACCCAGAATCCTTTCTCACTAACATTTTGGAGGCCAATGAGGACCAAGTCAATAACTGCCTTGCCATAGTGTCCAATAACAGCAAGAGACACATCACTGATGTTCAAAGCCTGGAGCTTCACCTTTGTCAGCACCTGACTTGCTGACGCTAACAGACTTGCAATTCCTTGATCCCCAACAAGAGGACAGTTTTTGATTGAAATGGACCTCAAGTTGGGACAGCAACGACCAACCGCTTGGAGACTATCATTCCCAATGTTTGCACAAGACTCGATCACTAGAGAGGTCAAATTGGGACAGTTGTTTGCAATGGAAAGCAAACCCTTGTCAGAAATTGCTGGGCAATGGCAAAGGTCAAGCTTCTCTAACTGGCGACATCCATTGGCAATCTGAACTAGGCCTTCGTCTCCTACAGAGGATACATTCCACAGAGAAAGAACCTTTAAAGAAGGGCAGCCACGAGCAATTGCCTTGAGGCCAAGGTTTGTCACCCCACGACTAGAGTTGCTTCCTCGGACAGAAAGCTTGCCCAATCCTCCACGGCTAACAGTTCCAACAGCAATGGCAGCAAGTCTGACATCGGTAGCTTTCTTCCCTTCCAGACACCTGGAGAGGTATCCATCACCCTCTATATCTTGATCTTCAGCCTCAGCTTCAACTTCATTATTAGCCTTAGAACCAACAACCCGACTCTTCTTGTTACACTCAGAGGACTCGTCAGCCTTCTTAGCACTCACTCCTTCCTCAGGCTTTGATTCAGTGGCTTTGTCAGTGCATATTTCATCCCTACTGATGCTGCTTAAAAGCATAAGCCAGCGCTTGGAAACACAAGCACAGGCACTTCTCTCTTGGCCTCCAGGAAGACGTCTGAAGACCTCAAAGAGGCATTCATCGGGAAGAACTTCGATTGAAGTCTGTTTCTTCTGCTCAAGCCTTTCTCCACTGAATATGAAAGGAGCACTGATGCGAGACCTCTTGCGTGGAGGAAAAAACACATCCACATGATGACCAAGGGGCAAAAAGAGACTTGAATCCTTGGGATTTGGGTATATTGGACCCCCAAGGCAAAAATCATTATCTCCTGAAAATCAATAGGTGAGAAACTAGATCAGCCAGAGTTTTATTATAAAAAAAAAAAAATGTATGAAAAAACATAAAATTTCAATAATCCACTTAATCTCAGATCCAAGTCATGTCAGTTATATATATGTCTAACATATGAACTATGGATTAACCATCAGTAGTCCCAATGACATACTGATCTGGTTACAGACATATATATATATATGTGTGTGTGTGTTCAGAGAAGAAACAAAATTCTTCAATAAGTCTTCCCCATAAGAATCATAAGCTAGATATTACAATATTCAACTCCAGGAATTTCAGTCAACAATTCCCAATCACATGAATTTCTATCCTTGCCTTTAATAAACCAACGTCCTTTCTTATCATAATCAGAAAAACTAACAAGAACCAAACTATGATTTCTGATAATCCTATCAGATCAAGTTAAGATAATAAAATTCCCAAAACCCTTGTCCACAACTTTCAATTGCGAAGCACCAATCAAGGGAATATTGAGCAGTACAGTTCTTTAACACAAAGTATTACTGAAATATAGCACATGAAACAAACAAAAATTAAGCAAAAATAATATACCTTGAATAGTTGTTATAAAAGCACCAACTAAATATAACCCAGAACTTGGGTCCTTAAGATTATCATCAAATCTCTAATTTCATATCGATCATCTAAGTCATTATTTATAAACCATGCAAATCAAGTATTCAACCATAATTTGACAATTATAAAATAACAAAAGAAGAAAAAAAATACAAACTTCATGCAAAAAAATCAAAGACAACACCAAAACCCACTCAATTAATCCTAGAGGGACGTGATCTACCTCTAAACTAACCAAAAAAAAAACACTTATAGAGCCTCAAAATACAAAATTGAAGCTGAAACATAGAAAATATGAAAGCTTACCACTGTAATCAAGAAGCTTCGACATGAGTAGTGTTGGAAAACCCCAGGGTGGTCGAACGTGAACCGTTTCAGCCCAAAAAACCCTCGATCGAGAGCAAAAACGAGCAGATCTACGAAGAAAACGGCCGTGAAAGCAACGTACAGAGACTCAAACGATGAACGCATCAGCAAAACGGAAGGCAAGAGGTCATCAGAAACCCTAATTGATAGGGCAAAAAAGGAAGATGAGAAAGGGAAGAGGAGAGAGATGAATGGGGTGGATGGTTAATACAATGTATGTATATGGTGTTTGTGCGTGTTATCTTTTATTTCCAAGGTGGGTCCCTTTTCAATTGGTACATGGAGAGAAAATGTACATGCAATGAATCCAGTCCTGAAACTAAAGTATTCATCGTTCAATGTCTCCCAAGTGGTTCGTTTTTTTTTATCTTTTCATTCCTTTTCTTTGAAGCGAGTGTTTGGATGCTGAGATAAAAAATTTTGGTAAAGGAGGGAAGGAAGTGCTTTCTCGAAAGATATTAATTTTATGAATGGAATATTTTTGAGGGAAAGTTATCTCAGATACATGCACATAATTTAGACAACGATATTTTTAATATCTTTTTTCCGACTGATATGTTCCGTCAAATTTTATAAAATGATAAATTTAAATTTTTATCCTTATTTTTAATAAAAATTTTACTATTTCTTGTATGAAAATTAAGGCACTACTTATCTTTCACATTCAAAATTGACTTTCGACAATTAACAAAACGAGTTTATGAGAGGTCACTGTGTGTAATTCTTTTAAAAAGTTGGTATAATTTATAAATAAAAAATTGTATACCATATATGAAATTTATAACTATTTGTAATGTTTTAATACGAGGGATCGAGTCAAATAAATAAATATGACTTCTCTTTTTCTTTTTGTAATGTTGACATCATGACATGATACTGACGTAGCAATAGTGTAAGCATTGTTACCTACCTCATTATCATCTTATCATGCAACCCCTAACAAGAAAGAAACTTTCTATTGAATGGGAGTTGGCCTCGAAAATTTGATATTGGAACCCTAAAAATAATAATAATAATAATAATAATAATAATAATAATAATAACAAAATAAAATAAAATAACTCCGAATGTTTGAAGTCTTTACACATGCAATTATATAGTAATGAAAATCTAGTCCAATTGTATAATTTTTTTATTCTCAAAACAAATTAGAGGGTTCGAGTTTGAGTGTAGATTAAAAAATGTTCGTGCATTTGCCAAATTATATTTTTTCATATTAAAAAAAATATATACAAACAAGAAACACGAACTATTAAACGAACCTAGTCCTCACACAAAGTTGCGTAAACATACTTCTTCTATTCTCTCTCTTGTCTTTATGTTAAATTTTATGACCAATGATATTTTTATAGTGTTTAGGGACATTTATATTATATATCATTAAAAGATAGACAAACAAAATTTTATGTGTATATATATTGAATGTGGCTCCACCATTGACACGGTATAAGAGAGTTGATTACTTTTTTTTCATGACCTAAAATTTTAGTATTTATAATGAAGTAATACAAAAAAAGAAAAAAAAGAAATAGCTTACCATGTTATACTATTACTACCAATCATTAGTCAAATTTTATTCATCCTATTAGGGTTTCTTCAATTCTAATGTTATTTGTCACATCTTTATGGTTAGTTTATAGTACTTAAAGTTCTTGAAAACTAATTAATGTTTTTGTAACATCTTTATGGGGTTCAATATATATAATGAAGTATTACAAAAAAAAAAAAAACAAAGTGTTCTTGAAAACTAATTAATGTTTTTGTAACATCTTTATGCGCGTGCACACACGCGCGCGCGCACACAAAAAAAAGAAAGAAGAAGAAGAAGAAGAAGAAGCTTACCATGTTATACTATTACGAATTTACTACCAATATTCATGAGTCAAAATTTATTTATCCTACTAGGGTTTCTTCAATTCTAATGGTTTTGTAACATCTTTATGTTAACTTTTTATTTTTATTTTCTTAGAACATGTGTATCGACTCCATAACATACGTACAGTTCATGTCAAGAGTACGGTTCAAAAGCGAGAATTCAAGAATTTACTTCTTGAATCTGTGTCAACGCTGTTATGCCCCGGAATATATTTATGTTAAGTTTATGGTACTTGAGATCTTAAAAACTAATTAATGTTTTTGTAACATCTTTGTGGTTAGTTTATGATCTTCTCTCTCTTTATTTTTTGGAGTTTTAACATAGGAAATCATTCATTACTATATACTTTGTTTTCCTAGGACATCTCACTCCTCAAATTTCATAGTTATTTTATAATATTTCCAACTCATACAATGTTGGAATTTGGTCAGCTCGAGTTATTAATATGAGTTTTTAACATATCCAATTGTCCAACCATATCTTTTAAGATCCAATTCCACATCTATTATTGGAATAACAAATCAAATGGCAATTAAGCACTTTTGGACACACGTGAGGCTTAGTGGGAGCTAGACCTGTCAATGGATCGAATTCGGATCAGATCGATTAAATCCATATCCTATTTGTTAAGCAAACGAATTATCGGATTCGGATCACTAACGAGTTCTCGGACTGAATGTCCCAATCCATATCATATTTAGCTCGGACTCGGATCGGATCGGATTCGAAATCGGATTAAATTAATATTTACTAACATAAATAATTATAAAGAGTATGATTTTTATTAGTATGTGTACTAAGAGATTTATTAGCATGTGGATGAGAATACCACAATATTTTTATATAACATTATTATTATTTTAGATTTTTGGGTTACCTTTAATACAATTCTAATAGGAGTATTGATATATATATATATATGTGTAAAATTATTGATAAATAATTATATATATTTATATATATAATTTTAATCGGATCGGATCAGCATAATCTATATCCGATTTGTTAAGCTAACGGATTATCGGATTCGGATCGTAACCGGATTATTGGATTTTTTGTTCAATCCATATCCGACTAATCGGATCGAATCCGGATCAAGATCCGCTCCATTGACAGGTCTAGTGGGAGCAGTTGCTCCACTCAATTTTTATTTTAAATTATATATATATATATATTTCTTGAATTTACATAATCCTTTAACCCTTCTTTAAATTCATTTATTTTTATTTTTATTTATTTTTTATTATTATTTTTTTACAAGGTAAGAAAGATTAGAAATTATATTAGCAAATGCAAAGAGTCGAAACTTGACACATTCACCAAAAACATTAATCTATTGAGTTATTGAGACATTTGTAAAATTCACATATCCTTGATAGTGGTCTTTAAACAAGTAACTCACACACTCAATTTTGTCCTCATTAAATTAAAATTTATATTTTAAAAAAATACCACTAAATTACCAATCAAAATAAACAATTGAGTCCTTCAAAAAAAAAAAAAAAAAAAAAAAATGAGAATGAAGAAACAATATTAAAATTACCCAAAAGATATGCATGCACTGTCAAAGCAAGTGGGCAGGTTGGGTGATAAAATAATGGTAATCATGAACTGTTCTCTATCAATTAAAAATATATATATGAAATGTTGTGTGTCAATTAAGAATGAGCACAAGAAAGTGAATCTACCATTATTATAGGTTGCGTAAAGTGTGGTTTTAATTATATATTATTGTATAATTGCTAATGCTATATGTATATAGTATAGCTCAAGTATCCAAAATCTTTGACTCACCATTCACAAAGAACCACAGCTAAATATATTCATATTCTAAACATGGTAAATGGTGAATTAATTAAATACATTATATATATATATATGTATGTATATATATATATATATACATACATATATTTATGCTTTGTTATTTCATTTTTTTTTAATTTTAAATTTTGTTTCCAACTCGTTGTAGCTACTCTCTCTCTCTATTCAATCTTTATCTTTTTCCAAGAGGGCATTCCTTTCTCTTTCAAATTGATAATTTTCTAAGGAGGCATTCCAAGTAATGCCAACTCATGTCTATTTGGTTCGTTTCTAAAATTTGTTGCGTTCTCTTTGTATCTATGATTCCTTTGATGCACATAATTAATAAAGTCCTAAGTTTTGTTATCTTTGCTAAGCAATTAACATGGTTTAGATATAAAATATTTTTTTTGAAAAAGATTTATTTTATTTATTTATTTTTTTATTTTTTTAGGTAAAATATTTTTTTTTTATTTTTGTTTTTTGGTGTTTGACAAAGATCATAGGTCGATATTGAGGTAAACCCCATCAGGCAGGTCGTGTAAAATAACTTGTCTAAAATTGATAGGTAAGTTATTTTTGTTAGATTGTAATATTTGTTTTCTTCGTAAATATTTTACGACAACAAAAAATCAGAAAATAAAATTAAAATATTTTTACAAATTGAAATTAAACAAAATTCAATTAATTTAGACAAATCCGAACAATATAATTAAGAAAGGGTTTCGATTGATTCGGTTTTATGAATTTCTTTTTTCCTTTATAATTACACTCACAATGCACTTGAGAAGACTTAATTTTTTTCGTTCAACTTGAAAGAAGGCGGCATACCTATCTACCATTAGGTCACCAATCAAAATCTTCACCAGTGCATTTTTTCCTTGCATGGCACATTTCAACTCACACCATTGTAAGGGTTTATTCCGTTGCTATAATGATGAAATTTCATTAATTAAATGATAAATTTCACCACTCATAGCGGCGAAATTCAATTACAGAAGGACTCGTTTTGATAAGTACGTGACATGATGCTTTTGTGTATTGTTGGATTCGCACTACTAGATACTTGTACATGAGAGAATTTAAGTCGCTAGGCCACGTTATCTCCGTTTGTTTTATGGATTTATTTTCCTAAAAACATAGTCTAGTAATAATATAACAACCACGTTTTGTTTAAATCAAGTCTCCGTCAATCCAACTTTTATTAATATGTGACTCCTAAATAAGATAACCGCAATGTTGTCTTGTTTTATGAATTTATTTTCCTAAAAACATAGTCTAGTAATGTTATAATAACCACTTTTTGTCTAAATCAAGTCTTATTGAACCCAACTTTTATTAATATGTGAGTCCTAAATAAGATAACCGCCAAATATAAACTAAATTCAGGCTCATATGACCCCCAGTGTTTCAAAACGGTCCATATAAGTTTCGACAATATGTCATTTTATCATTAGTGCTAAGGGAGGTTTTTTATTATCGGATTTTCAAGTGAGAGTAATTTAGGACATTAAAGCTAGTTATATTACACAATTAATTAATGCCCTTCCTATCAAAGACACCGAAATTTTTATAATAAAAAAGACTACCAATAACTACACCCTAATTTATATATTCTTCCATTAAATTATTC